CACTGCAGTATCGTCTGCCGCTTCCGATCTAGCGGAACTTCGGGTGCAGCTTCAGCAGACATCAGCAAGACTTGATGCGCTCAGCGAGGAGGTTCAACATCTGCGAGCTGCAGCAGAGTCGGAAGTGAATCAGCGTTACAGCACCAGATTGTGGGCTATAGGTCAGAATATACTGGGCCCTTTATCCAGCCTTCCACCCCGTGGTTGGCGCGTGCTGCGTATGCAGATTGAGGTTAGTAGTAAGTTCTTGTTTCCTTCTAGCCTGTGCCAAAATATCTCTCTAGCACTTCGTCATCCAAATGGCTGGCTGGGCTGCGCAAGTCAGACTTAAAATTGCTCAACAGGCGAGCCACTTTTAAACTTCTATGCCCAGCGATGGTCTAACTCGCCTGGCATGGATACAGATTCCATTTCAAAGGACGCTCCCAGCCGTCATAGCATGTACCAGCCACTTAAGTTCGTTGATCCATGTGGAGACCGTCTTTCAGTTCATCACACAAATCCTGGTCACCTTGCTTCTCAACCTCATATACAAACAACTGTACTATTCCAGCGAGCTTCATGCATCCGACGACGAGTTCCCTCTATGGAATTCATTCTAATAGATATCTATTTCAACGGTTCTTACTTGATGAGCGGGATGTCCCTAGAAGAAGGATCCGACAGAGGCGGCTCCCTGCTTCACAGCAAGGATGCCATGGGGCAGGCAAAGGCGGCGCGTAGCTCCGGGTTTAACGACACCGAGTGCGCGCCAGTAGCGCAGTAGCGCGCGACGCGTATCTGTGAGGGTTGCACAAGGTCGCGTGCGATCCGGGGAACCCCAGAAGCAATGCTCGTACAGCGGTAGTCGGAGGCTGTCTTCACCATGCACTGGCATCCTCATGCAGACCGTGGTTCACGGCGTCGAGATCGCGAAGGACAACGGTGGGGGCACACCTCGGACAGGAATACAGGCATAAGAGGCGCATCGATGAAGATGTCCGTCTAGAAGTATATCCCTGCTACGCGTGAACATCCTCGACAAGAAAACAGCTCACGGTGCACAGATCGCGAGGGACGGTGAGCGAGTGGCACAACAACAGCTACCGCACGGTCAAAAAGATCCTGTTCGAGAGCTGCAATGAGCGGATCGCTTGTTCGCCGTGCTCGCATCAAGTGAAAGAATACCCCCGCTTTTCTCCGGCATACTTGACGAGATAGCAGCCCACGGCGCGCAGATCGCGAGGCACCGCGAGTGAGTGGCGCGAGAGTAGCTACCACGCCCAATACTAGCTGCCGCGCTGTGAGTGGGTCCGCCGCTGAAGCTGCGACGCGTGGTTCATTCGTTGTCTCGACATTATGACGAAGGCGTTTTTCGCTGCGCGCCGGTGCCCTCAGCAAAGCAGCGCCGACGACTCATTGCGGAGGGGGTCGCGAGGGTAGCTACCCCGCCCTCAAAAGATCCAGCGCACTACAAGAAGTAGGTCACCTACTGCTCTCGCAGCACATACAGCACAGCGCCCGTCATGCGCCTGCATCCTCGACGAGGCAGGACCTCAAGGCGCGGGGCTCCTGAGGGCGTGGGATGCTAGCGGCGTTATCAGAGGAGCTACCACATCCTCGAAGAGTTCTGGGCCGGAGCGATGACGAGCGCTGCCATCGCAACATACGGGGCAGCTCCTAATATGCGCTGATGCCCTTGAAAAGGCAGCAGCTCACACTAGAGAGCGCTTGGTACAAGGATGAATGAAAGATGCTTACTACCCAGTCGCTGTTGAACGGAGGTCACGAGTCGGAGCTCTTTCGGACCCAGCCTCGAGGTCGTGGATAAACCACTACATTAGCGGTGCCACCTGAATGAAAAAGAATAGGTGAGATAGGAGTCGAGAAGTTCAGGCAGAAACAGGGCCGAGGCGACGTACTCTACGTTCGTCCATGCGCGTGGCTGAAGAGAAAGACGCGGTTTTAGCGCCGTCCGGAGCTACGTCCCGGCGGCCTTCCTTGCCGGCCCCGAGAAAGTCGGAGGCTCGGTACGTCCAGCGTGTATGTATCGCAGTATGTAGTTAGTTGTAACATTCATGCAAGAGGTGATATTAAAAATCAAGGAAGACATAGCCAAACTGCCTCCCGTCTATGGGAGGAGAGTTAAAAAAGAACTCGTCGGTCGGGACTCGAACGCGTGGCCTACAGAAGGATCACACCACAGCTCTTACCGTTGCTCCATGCGGTCTTGGTATAGGGAGGACATTAATGCTTTATATAAATTGTTTTGGTCGGGCAACTGCGATCGACACGCGCGTTTGTTTCGATCTCATCCCGACTTTCTCGGAGTCGCGTCGAACACGTCGAAACGCGCGCCTTCATACAGCGTCTCGCCTCCGTGGCTCCTCTAATCCCTCAAGGCCTCACTCTCACTCTCCTGTCCTCTCAATCTCGTCCCAGCTTTCTCGGACTCGCCTCGCACGCGAGCCTTCCCTCTTCTCTCGCGCGCGCCTTCCGTCCGCTCGCGCGCCTTCCGTCCACTCACGCGCGCGCGCCTTCCGTCCACTCACGCGAGCGCCTTCTTCCTCATTCACCTCCGTCGCTCCTCCTCCACATCTCTCGCTCTCACTCCCCTACCATATACTATCTCACTCCCTGCTGATATACCTCCTTCCGATATGCCTCCCATGGCTCAAGAACATCGGGATGTTCGTTTCCCTCGTTCATTCATCCATTACGCCCTTCTGACCTTGATTGACAGTTCCTGCTTGTCATCCTGCGTGGACCTGTGGACGGAGATGTCGCCAGCAAGGACCTCATCGAGGCGAGCACTCTACTTTTGTTTCAATGAAGTGCGGCTGATTTCAGCGCAGGCGCTGCGAGACGGTCTCGGCGCTCGCATCATCGAGAACGCCCATAACATCAGCGCGAAGTTCAGCCCTGGCGAATGTCGTTTCGACATCGAGGAAGTCAACATCGTCAACTTTCATAAGGTACGTCGCTTTCGCCGAGATTCTGTGGCATTCTTCTGTACCTAACATGCGCGACACGGGCAGGCCCACGGCGGCAGCGGGTCCAGGAACAAGAAGGCCAGAAGGCCGAATCAGATCGCTCGCCATGTTGCTCGCAGGTGTGTGGATTTGGTTCTCCTTCTTCGTTGCTCCCTAATGCTCTATTGTAGCCAGGGCTGCGAAGTCGCCGACCTCATTGGACTGAGGAACCATCCCTTGGGGTGGGATGGCCCTGCGTGGACCGCTCTCTGCGCCCGTGACTGGTCTCCGGTGTAGGTATGATTCGAAGTAGGTTATGCCTGCCAGGAATGTGGCCATGAATTTGCTAGATCGTAGTGTACAGAACGCGAAGAAGGTAGTATGAGTTTGTTCTTTGCGTTGACACTGAACAGTTCAGGTATCCCGCGTGCGTAGCTAAGCTGTAGTACCGTAATAGGTGCATTGGTAGCTGTACTAAGCGATGATACTTGTAATTACCGACTTGTCACGTTCCATGAATATATTTCGTTGACCCCACTGACTCACGTTTTGTCGTATGACTGTGTTCCGCATGAACCGCGGTCGCGGGACATACACGCAACGCGAACGAGAAGCAGGACCGGGATTTAGGGCACTGCGCGTTTTTGCGAGGCGCATGTTCTCGAAGGACGTGTCTCGGTGTGCGAGTGCTCGGCGTCACTGTCGTGCTTGCCCTGTTCCTCGCAGGCGAGAGAGAGAGAGAGAGAGAGATATAAATCATCTACGCTATATCAAGAGAGAGAGAGAGAGAGCCGCTTCCGCGCCGCCGCGGTCTCCCCGGCACACGGCCCGTGGAGAGCCTCTTCCCCGGGCACCGCCACCCCCAGATGCCTGAGAGATATTGAATCTTGATCATGGGCTCGGTTCGGGTGCCTGTGAACCGGGTGCCTGAGGACGCCATGACGTCATCAGCGTCTTGAACTGTCTCCCGCATCTGTCGTCCGAGACGCGAGTCGCGCCCGCCGTGACGAGCTGGAGCCATATCTCGCCATGGCGGGCGCAACTCGGAGGACGTAGAAAAGAACGACGCGCTTCTCGCGACGCTTGCGAGCATCGGAGTGAAGCCGAGGCTGGGGAGGAGAGAGCAGAGGACGAGGGCTCACGCAAGGCTCACACGGTGATTCGGCGGGCATGCGGCGGGGCTACCATGGAGCAGCGTGTCTCATGAGTTCTACCATCATATTCTTGGCCCACACACAAGTATTTAGTACCTCAGTAGTGGCTGGCTCGCATGAGAACTGACCTACTCGTTGGCGTCATGAAAAACGTGGAGCGGAAGCTGGTAGTAGCGGGGCGCGCGGCATCACGTGCTTGACACGCACGCCAGATAGATCTAGATCAGAGAGCCCGCGCACAAAGCCTGAGCCCTGCACAAAGAAGCTCCAGCTCGTCGCGCCTCGGCCGCCGCGCGCCTGGGAAGCCCCCTCGCGGCCTCTCGCGCACAGTCCGTCCCCTCCCCCACAGCCGTCTGTGTGCTCGAGAAGCTCCAGCTCGTCACGCCCATGTCCACCCCCTGTCCCATGGCCGTCTGCGTGCCCGAGAAGCTCCGGCTTGTCGCACGTCGGCGGTGCGCGTCCCCGCGTGCCTGGGAAGCCCCCTCTTCACAATCTTACAGTGCGTCGGACGTCTTTCTATCCCTTCCGTCTCTTCTCTCTTGAAATACCATCCTTGCTTCAGATGTTTGGTCGTTCGATATCTGGCATTCTGCCGCCTATACACGATAGTTGCCTTTAAAGACACTAAAGGGGTTCAAAGAACACAATGCCCACCATTTCACATATCTATTCCTTTGTCCAATCGAAGACTTCCTCCTTTTCATAGTCACAGGCATTGCGTTTGAGCCTCATCTAAGACCTATAATGGTGCAGGCCCTCCTCTCTGACAGCCCCACCGTACATCTCCATCGCAGCCATATATCGCCGTTGCAACCTCGACTCAGCTATCTCCTCCAACCGACCGTCTACTCCACCACCTTCCCACTCCATCTTCATCATCGTTCCAGTATCGATCATGGACGTGAGTGTGCCAATTTAACGTTTCAGATTGGACCTGATTGTGATATTTTTACAGCGCAGGTTGGCTATCATTCACAGGGTACGTTTCCGTCACACCTACAACATTACGCATGGAGCGCTGATTCTTCTCAGGTTATTCTATGCGTCGATGCCCCTGAGGAGGTGCAGAACCACATCGACCTTATCAACGCCACCCCAGACTTGGTACTTCCACGCTACGCTCAGGTGTACTTGCGCTGGGAGCGGGGCGTCGAAGCGTCGAACGAAGAGCTGCTGCAGCTGCGCCAGCTGCTTCGCATGGTATCGGTCTGGCCCACCGTGCACAAGCTGAGCCTCGACCTCCCGAAGAACACTCCCCCAGACGTGCTTAAGGGCATTGTCTTTCGCGGCGTCAAACAGCTCATCTACGACGGCCCCGCATCCACAGTCTATTATTTCTTGCGTCAGAATCCCTCCATCACCACCCTCACCCTCTTCTGTCCACCCATCGACGCCCCTACCATTTTTGGTATCGCAAGGTTTCCTTCAATTCCATTCCGCCATGCTCCCCTCCTCGACAACATCACGACTCTTGCTTGCCCCGTCGGATGCCTCAAGGGGCTGTCGTTCCCACTCTTCCGACTCGAGGTTCTATACTTGGAGCTGAAGGACGCCGCCGGCATCCCGGTCTCTCGTACCCGTGTTGCTCGCACCCTGCGGGACCTCTCTCCGAAGATATTCCCTCGCGTGAACTTTCTGTACGTTCACATGGGTCCTGGCGATCGCCGACTCGTGAAAGAGATTCCAAGACTCTTTCCCAAGATCCACAGCCTGTGCCTGATCTACGCTGGCAGAACTCCTGTAAGCTCGCTCTCCATTCTCCCAAACGTCACTAACGTCGTTTCTTGCAGCCCTTCCCACTCTCCCGGGGAGTTGAACGTCTCGCCATCGCTCGGCAATCCCCGTGGGGTGATGGGCGTCGGTGGCAGCAGGCATTGCGCAAGCTGGAGCTTTTGGAATGCCTGCTCGTCTGCACCACCTCTCCCCTCTTCGTGGACGCCCCCATCGGAGACATGCGGGCTGAAAGGAAAGTTGTACGCCGCTGGACCGGGGTCTCGATCAGATCTCCTCACCCCTCCCTTTACCATATTCTCTTGGCGTATTCTGTGGAGTGCGGTTACTCTCCTGGCATCATGTCGCGGTGGGGTCCTAGTGCTACGACGGCGAAGTGGGTGAGGGCCGGGGTCGTAGCCGTAAACGAGGACGAGGTGCAGCGTATTATAGATCGCTTGCAATATTCCAATGTACTGTAGATAGACGTGCAGAGTCTTTACACATCGTCTCAATGATTTCTTACGCTGATCTCGCTGCAGTGTGACCAGATGTATGGAATTTGGCTAGCACGGCGACTTGGCAGCGCGCCACGGCGTTGGCAGTCGATTAGCTCCAATAGCGCAGCCCACCGCGCGACGCGGTGCCACCCCCGCGCGCTCGGTCACACAGCTTATGTTTCCAAAAGCGTCGTCACCAAGCCAGTGTGACGGACGATATTTGAAGGTACTTGTGGCCCAGCGTGACGAGACGGTAAATGTCCGTCAACACGCGGTAAATCTCTAAAGAGAAGTAGCTGCCGCATAGGACGCGCCACACTGTGGAAGATGCGCGCGAACAATGATCGATGATCGCGCGCGTCAACGGCCTCCCAGTGCTGGGCGCTCCGAGTATGGTCGGTGCCACAGTGTCGAATACGAGAGGGGCCGGACACACAATTTATCGTGCCGGTTCACTCCGATCACCGTACATGTATAATATCGTTGTTCCAGCCGCATTACAGCAAGCAGTAATGATGTACATAGGATTCAAGGCATCTCCCAATAGCCCGCCATGATGGACCTATTCACCATCTCACCGCCACGGACAACGTTCACTCGCTTCCAACCCCCCAAACTCCCATCCTCCGATTTCCAGAACGACGCTATCTCCGGTGGAGAGCCTGCCCACGATGGGTATGCGGCGACGATACAGCGAAGAGCGGGGTGAGGAACTTGCATAGCCCCTCCCGCCCAGTGATGCACAAGGAACTCTTCAGCGAGGCGATCTCCGAGGGGGTGAGGCTCCAGCAGGAGTGAGACGGTGGCGAGGGTGAAGGTTTGGAGGGAGGGAAGGGTGAGGAGGATGTGATACCACTCGTCATTGAAGGCGTCCCAGGCCCTGGGGCCATCAACGCTCTGTCTGGCCTGTGTGCGCAAGTAAAGTGAGCAGAGATCGCAAGCGTTAGAAACTCATATACTTACATTTACAAGACAAATCTCCATGAGAGTGAGGTTCCGGAGAGCGGGGAACAGACGAGAGATCTCGCGCATTACACTCACGTCGCTCGGTGCAATCTGGATGCAGAGGTGGGTGAGCTCTGCGAAAATGGCCTTCTGCCCGCAATGAGACGCCATCTTCTGCAGATCTTCGGAGATAGTCGCTTGGCCGCTGTTGATGTCGAGGTACAGGGCTTGAAGCCTAGAGAGGGGGAAGTGAACGTCGCGGAGAAGAGCGACGGGGCAGAGGAGGCGATCCATGGTCATAAATGGCGCAATTGGTTGAAGGGAATTCGGAATGACGGGACGGTCCAGGCTCAACCAGCGAATCTGAGGATGAGCGGACAAGAAATTCTCTATGACGGCGTGAGGGGCGTTGGTGGAGAACTTTACGAGGTTGGGGAAGTCGATGTTGATAAAGACGTCGGAGGTGGCATCTTTAGGGAGGAAGAGTTGGAGGCGTTCGATGTTGTGAAGGAGACCCAGTAGACGGCGCAACAAATCCGAGGACACGCCGACCTCGGTCTTGAGGTTGATGTATGCCTGGCGAAAGCGGTCCAGGGGAACGCCCTCGGTAGCTGAGAAGTTGAGGCTCACGAAGGCCTCCGAGTGAAGGCTCACGAAGGCCTCAACTTCAGCCACCGTGTCGGCGCAGAAAAAGGTCTGTGAGAAATTCGGTAAGAAATTCTTACTCGCAGAAGAGAGACAGACGCACCTGATGGATGTCGGCGAGAATGGTCTGCGGGGATATAATTGAATCAGCTTGTGGTCGTTCAATCTCTATGTGGGAGACACTCACCTCCATGGCGTCGGACTGGGTCGGGCTGGTACATCTTCGGAAACAGACGCGGTGAGATTTTATACGCTGTCTGTGCGTGAAGAACGTGGCTGGTTCAGAAAGCGCGCTCAGTTCCTTTGTCATCGGAGTCCGAATGCAGCATACCTTTGTGAGGAGGAGGAGGAGGGAGTTCAAGGGAGCGCAACTCTCCGCCAGGTACCTTTGTGCATCGCGATACCACCGAGTGCACCTTCGTGCACAATAACACAGTGCGCGCGGGGCGCTCGTACTCCACGTGCGCGCTCTACGGGATGCAGTTTCAACCACGAGCAGTGCAGCTACGTGAGGTTGAAGCAGTCCAGAAAGGTTAAACGTCTACATTATGGTCCCGAGGACGCGCAGCGCTCTTAAGCATGGCCTCAACGTACGCCTGTGGAAGGAGGCTGGTGAGTGGCAATTCCCAAGACGAAGGCGAAACCCAAGCTTCACAACGCGGGCGGTGAGCCCCGTCCTCTGGGTACCACTGTGGCCTCCAGGCGGAGATCATCGGGCGAGCCCTGGGCCAGGTTGCAGAGGTAGAACGAACCGCGCTCACCGTGTCGTAGCTAATGTGCGCTCGCGGAGCTATATACCAAAGGCGGTCTAGGCCTGTGTCCATTGAGCGCGGCGTAGCTCTAGGCACGGGGAAGTTGTTATGACGGATGTTGACGGCGGTGAAGAGCTTCATATGGCAATTTTTGCTCGCGAGGTGTGATGCGCGGTGGGGAAGAGGTGGATGTGCGTACGAAGGTCCATAGAAAGAAGGAGGAGGTCGAGCGGGAGCAGGATCAGAGAGCGCTGCGGTTGACGGAACGCGAATGGGTAAAACTCACCGAAAACAGTCTCAAAATACTCCAAAGGTCCCTAGCGTGTGTATCATGTGCTTGCGAAGGTCTGCAGAAATTGGGGAAGAGAAGTAGGATGTCAGGGCGGAGGCGCAGGCAGGGACGGGGAGCGCGACGGTCGACGAAGTGTGAGCCGGTAAAACTCACCAAGAACGGTCTCAAAAGACTCCAATGGTCCTTCATGTATGTTTCATGCGCATGCGGAGGCTTGTAGAGAGCGGGGGGAAGAAGGAGGATGTCAGGCCGGGCGCGCAGGCGAGGACGGGGAGGGCGTCGGTCGACGAAGTGCGAGCCGGTAAAACTCACCAAGAACGGTCTAAAAAGACTCCAATGGTCCTTCGTGTACGTTTCATGCGCATGCGGAGGCTTGTAGAGAGCGGGGGGAAGAAGGAGGATGTCAGGCCGGGCGCGCAGGCGGGGACGGGGAGGGCGTCGGTCGACGAAGTGCGAGCCGATAAAACTCACCAAGAACGGTCTAAAAAGACTCCAATGGTCCTTCGTGTACGTTTCATGCGCATGCGGAGGCTTATAGAGAGCGGGGGGAAGAAGGAGGATGTCAGGCCGGGCGCGCAGGCGGGGACGGGGAGGGCGGTGGTTGACAGAACGCGATCCGGTAAAACTCACCGGAAACAGTCCTACATATTCACGCACGCGCTTGGAGGTTTTCCTGAATGGAATGTGCGTAAACCTGGAACGAAGGAAGGTAGAGCGTGGAGCGGGAGTGTGGCATAAGTATAGGCCCTTCGCCGTACGCGGAGCCTGCGCCGGCCCGAGTAACAAGCGCCGCCACGATCACGCCCTGCAGACATAATAGCACGACGCCACCGAGGATTGTAATCCACCACCACATTCACCACCCATCGTTGAGCTTCAGCCCGTGGCGTCCGACATATATACTCTGGCGGATAACATGCCGCTCCTGTACCAACCTGCCCTCACATTTCTCGACCAGCAAGGCCATTCCGACGCGGTGTCATGCGTAACTTTCAGCCACAATGGACAGTACTTAGCATCGGCAGGGATGGATTGCAAAGTTTGTATTTGGTCCTCAACAAATGGGGCACTCAAGTACGTTTTCTTCGGGAACAGTCCTGTCCTTTCGCTGCTGTGGCTCGAGCACTCGAGCACCGACCTCGTGTGTGGGATGGAAGACGGGACTCTTGCTTTTCTGCGAATATCCGATGTGAGTAGCTGCGCTATAATCATATCTATACCTTCTGACGTTCCCATAGATTCTTGTAGAGTTAGACGGGTTTGTGGCCCATGAGTATCCCGTCGAATGCCTCGCCGTCTGGGGGAAATACCTCGTCTCCGGAGCTCATAACGAGGTCAAGGTATGGAGTTACTGCAAAAAAAGTGAGCGATGTCATCATTTGAAGCATCGAATGCTGATGGAGCTTGTTGAAGAGGATTGGTTGACGAATGTTTACATCTCGCGTTGGCGCCGGGACTTTGAAGTCAAAACACCCAAACCAGATGCAGGCGAGAAGGTCGTCGTGACCTGTTTGCACTGGATGAGCACTCTCCAGCACCCCTCCGTACTGCTGGCGGTGTATAGGACCCATGGCATCGTGTAAGTTCGTGGTCGTTTGAAAACGAAGTTCACTTATGAAAATTTGCGTTCACAGAGCCTACGATGGGAAGTCAGGGAAATGCCTGCATTCTGCATCTCTCCCCGGACGAATGTACGTCTAAGCCTCTCAGTTTCTTTGCTATTTGGCTCAGGGGAGGCTATAGCACCGACGCGCATTTTAGTGCCGATGGTCGCTTTCTCGCTGTGTCGAATTCATTGACAGGCTTCGAAGTATTCCTCATGCGCCAGCCCGGAAACGTGGAGTCTCTCTTCACCGCTCATCAAGACGTCAGTGCCGGGTGCTGTCTCCCAGTCCGCTTCCTTCACCAAGGGACCGCAATTTTCGGAGGTACATCGAACGGCAAGGTCAACATCTGGAATATCTATAACCGACTCAAGCAGTCTCTGTCGTTGGGAGGTATTTGCTCCAGTTTGCATCTTTTTCTTCATTATTGGGCTCTGACTCTTATCACAGAGGGTGAATGCGTGTTTGCAATCGATGTACGTCGCTCTCTGTCGCCCCAGTCATACATACCCTCATGCCCACTACACAGAGCTTCTACGATGCCTCCACCGACAGTTTTTACATTGCTACCGGGGTATTCAACAAAAATGCAGCCTGCCGCATTATCCTTTGGAAGGCGGTGGATGTGGTTGATGCGCGTAAGTTGAATGGAGCTAGTGTCCGTCCTTTTGCACGTACTGATGAACACCCTCTAGTCGGAGATGGATCTCTCATGCCGACGCTTCCCGCACCTGAACGGACTTTCTCGGAACGAATTGTGCGAATGTTGACTTCCTTCCGGCCTTCACATATGCTAACTAAGTTGCCGCAGATCCTTCAGGGTCTTCAATGGGCCTTGATGTCGATAGGGTTGTATGGCGGCATTCGTTTTGTTTGGGACAAAGTAGTTGCGTTTAGTCGAGATTGATGCGCCGGTCATTGTCCAATGTATATGTACTGCACTGCTTCCGTGAATCTACTCACCTGCTTCCATCATGACCCACTTGCTCGTGCCGTTCATCTCCAACGCCCTTCCACAACTATGCCTAGTGCTTGTCGCCATCATCCTATCATCCTCGATATGGTCCTACGTGCTCCATCGTCGCACTCAGCAGGACAGCACGCTTTCTGTCTTCGCCCCCGCTCCAGTTTCAGGCAAAGGCGCTACAATCCTCCAATTTCCGACCGAGGATCGACCTTTTTCGGCTGCCACCCGAGTTGTCAGTAACGGCCCAACTGTGCTCAGATTTTCCACCCCTTCACGGGGTCGCGCTATACCCACAATCATGGAGTCCTATCCAACCCCAGTCGGACAACCGAGGACACCTGTGTGCGTATGCTATGCGAGGCTCTTACGACTTCACAACTAAGACGATACAACAGATTTGCCCCTGAGTTCCAACGTTCGCCCATTTCTCAGTCAGACTTTTCCAGCGACGACTGGATGCATAGCCTCCCCAATCCATCCGGCCCCTCCGCTTCGCCCAACTCCCCCAACACGACTCGTCCCCCCAAGGGTGTATTGCGCCGGCCGCAACCTACCCCAGCTACAGACCAAAACCCTTGCAATGTAGGCGCTTCGGATGCTCACTCACCTGCCACACCGGATTCTGGATCGGAGACGGAGCTCAATGCCCCATCTCGCCGTGGCAAACGGGGAGCAAGAGCTGAGGTACCCACGGCGTCGGAAGGTCCATCCGTTCCAAAGACACGATCAACCAGGTCGAAGCCCAGAGCGGGGTCAATGGGGAGGGAACGGAGCGAGGGCGTGCAGGGCGTGCAGGTGAGTACAAATCAGCTCCCTCAACGTTGTAGATGGTGTTGAGAGGACTGCATAGCTGCAGCGTCGCCAGCGAGCAATCCGGGAGAGCGATGGCGAGTTCACATACTGGTTCGAAACAACGTCGAATTCTAGATTGAAGGAGCCGCCGAGACTCAGCTCAGCGTGTGGCTTACAAGTGGGCGACATTTTTCTTCACACCTATGAGGATCGTGTCCAGATGTGGCTCAGAACCGAGGACGACGTCGGAGAAAGGGGATGGAAGAAGGTTAAGGTCGGCCATGTGAGACAAGATGGTCGCTCTTTGATCATTACGCCCACATTGGTTGCGCCGTCGTGGGTCGGTAAGGCATGGGGACAGAAGAAGGCGGCTGCGAGTAAGTTCCTATCCACTTCTTGTGTTCCCAAAGCTGACGATCTATATCGTGCAGCGAAGCACGGCAACTAGCTTTATTTGAACTTTGTCCGTATGTAGTGAACACCCCATATCGAAAGTCCGCGCTCCAACCTCAGTCCGCTATCCATCCGTGTGCGCACCACCGTCACCAGCCCCTTTCATCGTGTCTTGGCACCAGTCCAAGCTGGCGAATTCGAGCTCGCATGGGTGTGGCGCCACATGTATCGTCACAGCCCTATTCGACACGCTGGCGTCAGGAGCACGCAGATTGCGACCGTGGAGCGTCGTACCAGGCACGTAGGCTTGAGCGAGCGCACGTCCGGGAAGTTGAGAAGCAGCACAGGCAGGGCGACAGCGCTGACTTATTTAAAAGGTACGAAAGGTGGTGGAAGGCGCTCCGGAGGGGCGCACCGAGCGTAAACAGGTGGGGGATGGTGGGGATCGAAGGTGAAGTCACCCAGACGAGAGCAGTTGCTGTTGGGCTCGGAGAAGGAGTGAGCGGAAGAGAGGAAGAACGTAGGGTCTGCCGCGCGAGGAGAATGCCGACAATAGAGCCTCTGCAGCGATGTGAGCATGCGCACGAACAGAGGGCATGATAGGCAAGGAGCCGCTGCGGTCCGACTTTCTCGGGGCCGGCAAGGAAGGCCGCCGGGACGTAGCTCTGGACGGCGCTAAAACCGCGTCTTTCTCTTCAGCCACGCGCATGGACGAACGTAGAGTACGTCGCCTCGGCCCTGTTTCTGCCTGAACTTCTCGACTCCTATCTCACCTATTCTTTTTCATTCAGGTGGCACCGCTAATGTAGTGGTTTATCCACGACCTCGAGGCTGGGTCCGAAAGAGCTCCGACTCGTGACCTCCGTTCAACAGCGACTGGGTAGTAAGCATCTTTCATTCATCCTTGTACCAAGCGCTCTCTAGTGTGAGCTGCTGCCTTTTCAAGGGCATCAGCGCATATTAGGAGCTGCCCCGTATGTTGCGATGGCAGCGCTCGTCATCGCTCCGGCCCAGAACTCTTCGAGGATGTGGTAGCTCCTCTGATAACGCCGCTAGCATCCCACGCCCTCAGGAGCCCCGCGCCTTGAGGTCCTGCCTCGTCGAGGATGCAGGCGCATGACGGGCGCTGTGCTGTATGTGCTGCGAGAGCAGTAGGTGACCTACTTCTTGTAGTGCGCTGGATCTTTTGAGGGCGGGGTAGCTACCCTCGCGACCCCCTCCGCAATGAGTCGTCGGCGCTGCTTTGCTGAGGGCACCGGCGCGCAGCGAAAAACGCCTTCGTCATAATGTCGAGACAACGAATGAACCACGCGTCGCAGCTTCAGCGGCGGACCCACTCACAGCGCGGCAGCTAGTATTGGGCGTGGTAGCTACTCTCGCGCCACTCACTCGCGGTGCCTCGCGATCTGCGCGCCGTGGGCTGCTATCTCGTCAAGTATGCCGGAGAAAAGCGGGGGTATTCTTTCACTTGATGCGAGCACGGCGAACAAGCGATCCGCTCATTGCAGCTCTCGAACAGGATCTTTTTGACCGTGCGGTAGCTGTTGTTGTGCCACTCGCTCACCGTCCCTCGCGATCTGTGCACCGTGAGCTGTTTTCTTGTCGAGGATGTTCACGCGTAGCAGGGATATACTTCTAGACGGACATCTTCATCGATGCGCCTCTTATGCCTGTATTCCTGTCCGAGGTGTGGCACCTCCTCTCTCGGAGCCACTCGCCTGCCGTCATCCGCGACGTCCGCGCTGCATGCAGTGGTCTTAGCGCAGATGCCGGTGCACAGCGAATACGCTCTTCTATGCTTTGAGGTCGGGGAGCACCCTGCTCGTGATGACTCTAACGTCGAATATCTTCGGGGCTGCGGTAGCTCCTCTCGTGACACTCACATCCTGCCATCTGCCATCTGCCCACCCTCAGTCGCCGCCTCCTTGACGACAACTGCGCACCGCAGGAGCTCTCTTCTACCTTTTGCAAGGTATCGAGTATCTTTTTCATTGCCCTCATATTTTTGCCTAGAGTTTACGAGTTCCTCTGGCGCCACTTCAAGCCTGCCGCTCGTTGGGCTATTTTCATGCCCCTGCTATCAACCCATAGTAAAGAAATCTCATCCGAACACGATGCTGTCAATTTGTTTTCGGTTTTCCGTCGGATTTTGGAACGCTCCGAATGCTCTGGGTTCTCAATCAGACAAAGCCTTTTTGAAAGAACCATTATATGGTCGCTACATCTGAGCCTCTCCTCCGCTGTCAGCCGCCACTGCCTTCCTCTTCCTGACACCATTCACTGATCCGAACAGCAGTGGGAAATGTGGGTTCTCTGCTTTAGAATGTCAGAAATGCGCTTCGTTTACGTCGCCCATCTAGTCGTCACCTCCATGACCTCTAGAACCGTCAACGATCCCTTTGCGGCATCCAGATTTCTTCTACGCGAAGATTCGATGGCGTGTCTGTCCGCACCGGAAGGTAAATCGTCAATACCTCCATCATGTAGAAGTTTTGATTTAATTTGAAACCAGGGGCAACCTCAGAGCCCAAGGTTCTTCGATTCCAACAGGGAACCTCCACTCGCCTCGCGCCACCCACAAAGCACGAAACCCCCAAGCCGCACCGGCCTGTCAGCTTCCGCCGTCCAGTTGTGTTTGCTGCTGCGCTCATTGTTGTCGCCATTTGGGCGGAACTTTCCCGTTGGTGCACAATCTCCACATCCTCCCAAGGCGTCGTACTTCTCTGCCATACCAGCGCGGACGCGATCCATGCGCAAGGCCTAATCTTGGACGCCTTTCACCATCACTTCTCTGCCTCCTCCCCGCCATCTCCAACCGATTACGCTCAAGACATAGCCGGAGGGACAATTGCGTGGCAGATCACCTCCTTTTCTGCCTTCGCAGCTCCTTGGAGCTCCGCTCAGAACACCGATCCCCGAACGGTTCTTAATAGCCGTGACGCATCGCATTGCTGGGCCCCTCCCTCCCTCCCCGCCCAGATAGGTGTTCGAAGTACGCAAATGATCCACCCGACGCACATCATCATCGACACTCTGGCAACGGACCCCGAAGGACGCCTCCGGGCACCGAAGAACATGCATCTATGGGGCGCTGTAGATGGCAAGACGAACACGCAGCTCTTCGAGAACCTACCCGCTGACGCTGGCAAACCCAAAAGACCAACGATTCATAAGGACGTACGTTGGGTGCTCCTAGGGTCACCTGTTTACGACATTCACAACCGCACCCGAGCACAATCGTTTCCACTCTCCCGTGAGTTCGTGGACCTGGGGATGACTTTTGGAGTCTTCGCACTGGAGATCATGGACAATTGGGGGGCACCTCCGATGTCGACGTGCCTATCGAGTGTGTGGATTTACGGAACTCCCCCGTAGGGCTTCACTTCCCCGCTTTCCTTGTCACGCCGCTGAACGAATTGTCGCTACTTATTACAAACGTTAATACCACGATACACCACCACGCCACCTGTTCCCTTCGTGTCTGCTTCTCCCGACGATCAGCTCTCCTCCAGCCGGGATTGAGTACTTGAGTACGTCGTCGTGCGCTGATGGTCTGCCACTTTTGCCAGTTACAGCCACGTCTCTCGCATTGCCGAGTCTGCCTCTCACTTCACTCCTCTTGTTCTGCTCTTTCATCTTCTGCTGCCAAACATCCAGAACGTGGCAAAAACTCAGCCAGAACATTCCATGGGGCGTTTTGACAGCACGAAGACCGCATCAAAAAGCCCGTGCCAGAGTCATTCATGGGGTGGTCT